GGACCGTATGACTGTTTGCCACAGTCGAAGAAAAAAAAAACGTTAAATCAAACAGGTACTCTGGTACATAAACATCTATTTATAAAATAAAAAAATGGTTACTCTTTTCCACAACATAGCTGTCCACGTTCAGTTCCTTTGCTATTCTAGTTCCATGAAAAATAAGGTGTATAGAGAGAGACGAACTTGTTAGCATTCCATGGAGTGTGACAGAGAAGGGAAACTCCGAGCAGTTCCCGGGACGTGTGACCTGGGTACGTCAACACTCGCCTTCACCGCTCGTGTTTCCCTGCCCACACAAATCTGATAGGAGCCTAGTGCAGCATTAGATACACGTTCTAGTATCTAACTTACTGCAGTTCTAGTCAGACCAACATGTTTTAGAAGATTGTGTAACGGGACGACTGAATTTAATAAAAAAATCAAGTAAAATTGTCAATATTTATTTTCACATTTACAAAACTACACAATATACTTACAAACTATGTACAATGCATGCATATGCATAAAACCTCATATTTATATTCTTAACGGGAACATTTTTTTATTATATTTTTTATACTTTACACAATTTTACAATACTTTATATTATATGTAATAACACAGGACAATTCACACAGCGCCATCTAGTTTCAAACTCAATATAGTTTGTACTATACGTATTAAACGACTGATAGAAATACTAAACTTTTTTTTAAATATATATAATATATAGAATACATCCAGACCAATAGAAACAGCAACACTCATGAATAATAATGTTTGTATCGTGCGAGGAACCGAACCCGCGACCATTTAAGCGGCAACATTTTCTATACTACAAGCTATTTGGATTTTGAAATTCCTAGTGAATTCGTCACGATGTGTTAATTGTAAGTTACCTGACTTCTTCCTATCATCCTCTACTGGTGCCCCGTCAGCGTATACCGTTAGCGCAGGTGGGTGCACCATACCAATTGGGGCAATGCGTGGGGATCGATAAAGTGTGACTTTAACATATAACAAGGGGTTGAAGGTCAGAAAGTTCGTAAAAAAATCATGAAATCATATATTTTTAGTATTTAATAAGAATTTTAAATTATTAGAATACCATCTTTAGATGACTGAGAGAGAATGTTTAGCATTAAGTCAATCATTGTACCAATGAATGGTCAATAAAGCAATTATATAAAACCAAAAGCATATTCTAATTTTATCTAGTAAAGTCAAGGTCACACTACACACTTTTCAGTTTAGAAACCGCGCGCTGGTCGAAAATATAAATAACGATATCTTACTACAACCATCTCCCCCCTCGTGAAATTTCGTAATAATTAACGAACTTCCTCTCCCCTTTCGACCCTCAAGACCTTTTAGTATTAAAACAAATACTTTTTAATTTTGTACTATAAAAGCGTGACCAACTGTGACAGAGTGGGGTCACAAATACTGACATTGTTGTGACATAATTCGTGGATGTTCCCATATCATATATATAAAATTATGCATCTATAAACTCTTATATACAATGACAACGTTATATAAACATATAAAAATTACAATAAACTCCTATGAATAGTATTGGAGTTATCCGTACACAAACGGAAATAATCCTTATTCAAATAAACTTAATATAAGCACTTTTGAATGGTCACATTTTTTTATTCTACCACTCATTCGGAACGCTGATGAGCATAAAACTTGCGTGTTGCTCTTTTAAATACAGGTTGTTCTAGGTAAATATTCATTAACAAGGATTAGGCATGCGACAATCAATATAGCTACGGACTCAATCTTTGTTCAATTCATATAACAACAAACATTTATAAACAGAATATTTTATACTCTTTTATTTATAGACTGATTATTTATTCACTTGGACATTGTTTCATAAAATTAGGTCTTACAATTAAAATAGAGTAGAAATATTCGCCTCAAATCAGGAGCCATACAATATACATTTTTTTGTAATAATTTACAAATTATATAATAATGTGAATTAACATATAAATTGTTATACAAGAGTGTAGCCACGGTGGGGCAGGATAGGGCGTTTGCACTACCTACCTCTGACCAGTAAGGTACCTAATGGCAGGCACAGAATACCAGCGATGATTGCTGTGTGTCAGCCGTGTTGCCAACCATTGTATATAAATATTATAGATGTTTTTTGTAATTGTTCTACGTGTGTATGTATATATATATGTACGTGTACGAGTGTGTGTGTATGTGTGCATTCATATATATACGTGTATATTTATATCAACAATGGTTGTCAATAAAATCGTTCTTTCTAACTAAACCTACAAAAAAATGAATTATCTAAGTACTAACTACGATACTTAATATTTGTAAGAAAGTTCCCGACAGTCAACACAAAAATAACATACAGTTACAGGATGCTATTTTGTTTCTGTCTACTTTAATGCTGTTGTCTGTAGCTGGCCTTTACAGCTTCACCGGACTATAGGGGGCGAGTGCAGATGGCTCTCCAAACTAAAGGAAGGACTTATGGAGCGGCTGAATGCCAACTCCCGCCTGACGGATACGACTTTACTTTGAGAACACCGCTATGGGTTCGAACCTCGGTTCAGGCCGTCGTAATTCCGATCCCGGTTTGAATTGGACGGGGGATCGATCAAGACGAGGGTGCTATATAGTGTAACAGTTTTGTATAAAAAAAATAATCGTGGTAAGACGGCGGGTATAGTTCCATAATATTTATTCCTGCTGCCCCACCCTGAGCCCTTGGCTGGTTACGACCTGGTTGTTATTTATTATTTACTTATTATTGCACCAAACACAGAAAATAATTAAATAACTAGCAGACCCACGTAACTTCAAAAAAAAAGGTAAAATAATCTATACTCATGTTATAAAGAGGTAAAGTTTGTATGTTTGTTGATTCAGAGTTATATAATAAACACCTAGTGAAACACAACTAGCCCTACGAAAACTTCTGCTGTATCAAATCGCAGCTGAAGTCAAATATGTTAATAAAAACGAATAATGTCAGTGAAAGAAATAAAATAAAAAAAAAAAGAGTATTTTTCGGTTTTTTTGATAAGAGGTTTAAGAATTCGTTCACTGTTAGAAAGGTATATTATCTAGCATTATATAGCATATCTAGATATGCTATAGAGCTATATATATATATATATATATATAACATCACGCTACGACCAATAGGAGCGGAGCAGCAATGAAAAATATGGCAAAAACTACATATGATGCAATTGTTCTTCTTTAAAAATTCTAAATATACCTTATTCTAAATTACATTTCGGGCGGTAGGGAAAAAAATTAAAATTATAATGTACAAATTTGACGTTCATAAGCGGCTAAAATGTCCTACATGAATAAATGATTTTAGAATTTGAATTTAAAAATATATGTCTATCTTTTAAGTCACTATAACCGTTGTTATTGTAATCAAATTTCTACTAAAATAATACATTATTTGTGAATTGTGTTTTTATAAACATTTATTGATCCTTATCGAAATAATACGAATACGTTATTTATTATAAGTATTCAATTTGAACAAAATTGTCCTTTACATCAAATTAATACAAAAATCATTGAATCATATAACACATTTTAGCCGCCTATGAACGTAATTTTTTTTGTATTATAATTTTATCCATACCGTATCATCATTGGATTAAAACGAACACTTTATTAGGTGATGTCTTAGTTGTAATAAAAGAGCCGCGGATATTGGGCCCGTGTGAAGCCGGGCGAGTTTAGTAGTTAAGTGCTCTATATTTTCAGAGGTCAAACAGTAAACGATAGCAATCTCATCTAATATGAAATAAGTCCACGAAAATGTTACAGCATACTATTATTTTTAATTACCTAATTATTTATATTTATGACTGTAATTTACGCATAATGACCTCCCACTATCATGAAATTGAACCTAAAATCATACACATAAGGTAGAGAGTAGACTACGCGAAAACTAAACAACAAATTTATGAACACAATTAAAAATTAAAATAAAAAAACTTGGTACTAATATAACCAATTTTTTTTATTATAAACAATCTTATGAGCAGTGTCGGATTCACATTTTAGGGCCCTAGATTACATATTTCTTGGGGCCCTAGAATATACATTTCGTCGATTAAATAGAAAAATGTCATTTTTTTAATATTAGAAGCTAGAATTGCCTCCTTTTATATAAGTCAATTAAATTAACCACGCCGTCTTAATCATTATCTAAATACTTTTAAAATTATATATAATACTTCTGTGTAAATTTAAAACTAAAGCAAAAAATAAATTAAATAAATAAAAAAACTTTAAATGCTTGTCTTGTAAAAAAAATATACATTTTGAATACTGACATTTTTCTAATTAAACGACGATTTCTGGGGGCCCATAATTGATTAAATGAAAGTGTTGAGAAACAGTTCGCTCAATATATTTTTTCGATCAACAAACGAGTATGCGGCTTACCTGATGGTAAAAGATTACCGCCGCCCATGAGCACCTGCAACACCAGGGAATTGCAAATGCATTGTCGGCCTTTTAAAAAGGAATAAGCTCTTTTCTTGAAGGTTACAATATCGTATCGGTTCGGAAATACCATTGCTAGAAGGTGATTCCACAATGTGATTGTGTGTGGCAAAGTTTCTAGAAAACCGCACTGTGGAGGACCGTCATTCATCCAGATGATCAGGATGGTATTTTAGTTTCTGGTGGGGTGCGTAATGTAATTCGTCACATTACACACCCCGCCAGAAACTAAAATGCCATCCTGATCACCTGGATCATGTAATTTGATAATCCGTTCATAATATCACAGTGTAATTGTTACTGACTAGGTTATATTACGGTGCTACTAAATTAGATAATTTGGTATCACCTCAATAAAAAAAAATACTGGCTATAATGGCAGTAATACTGTAGCTATAATGACAAAATGGCGGAAGTAGATGATGATGATGATGATGACGATCAGCATCATCAGCCCACTTTTTTCACGGCTGGACATAAATAATCATGTACAATCCATCGGCTGATGTCATTAGGGATGCAGAGCAGGTAAATGTACAGCAAACCAGATCCAGAAGAGTATGAGTTGGGAAGGGGCTGGTTCCAGGTTGTTACTACCCTCATCTTTAAGGAATTGACTAAGAAGGAGAATGAATGTCCTTATTTAAACTATTATTAGAGTTAGGTCTGTTTGCCAAGAATTTTAGAAAGGCTAAGTGGGACATTATCAAGGTTGGGAAACACTGACAGCTGTTTTTAAATTAGACTAAAATATTTGATAGTTGAATAAAATTTTAACAGAACAGAATGGCATCCTAATCCATTGGCAGTACAGCTCTTGGAGCCTCTCACAGTCACGAGACTGAAGAGGAGGAATCTAATATAGAAAGGCAGAAGTGTTGACCTCTTCGGCTACAAATCAAACAGCACTTAACACATCTGTTTATAGTCTTGTTTACTAGTCTTGAGACTGATCATTGATTAACTCTTTGAAGACAAAAAATCGTATTTCTCACATAAGTACTGGCATTTCTTTAATTACATGTGACTATGTCAAATTAACTAAGTACCCTATATGCAGTATCTCTTTGAGAGACCAGCAAATGAAGTACTGTACATAAATTTAAATTTAAATCATGCCCACAGGTGTACAAGTGTCCCCAGGAAAAATGTGTGCCCACCCATGAGTATGGGGGCCAGTAATGTTGTTGGGAATTGACCTACCTGTGGGCAGTCTTTAACGTTAAATCATGCCACAAGCCATCCCCACATAAAGCATTTTGTGTGCCCCACAAGTGGGCATGTGGTCTTAAATGTGTTAAATAGAAAAAAAAAGAACAGAATGGCAAAGAAGTCATGTCTTATACAGTTTCAACTAATAACTACTATAATTATTACATCCTACAATGAACATCTTTAAGCTCAAATGTCTCACTGTTACAATTGCATTCAAAGCAACAGGGATGCTACGTAGACGATTACCATAAACTGCACAATAGTTACTAACTCATCATGAGCAGGTCATCTCGCTTGCTCTTTCGTGACCGTTGTCAACGCCTGGCCAACCTGCACCCTATCGCCAGAAGCAAACCCAAACTTAAAGTCCTTTGGTGCTTCAAATAACAATATTATCGTACTACCCATATTAAACTGTCCGAATAATTCACCTTTTTTCAACTTAACCTGCCCCATTTCATACTCTTCAATTCTATTATGTTGACCTTTGGTGTTTGTCTGTAATTTTGGATCTTTGTATATTTCTATCGAACCTACATTGGTCGCTCCTACAGCTGTTAAACTGAAGAACCCATGCTTCCATTCCCCAACGTACACAGCGCGTTCATTCATTGTAAACAAGCCCGGTATTAATCTTGCCATCCAAGGATTCACAGATAATAGCTTACCAGCGAAATGGCGGCGGAATGTCGACGTCCAATCACACGGAGAATGAAACCTGTGATAGTCACCGGGCGCTAAATATATGATGCACTGATGGAGAATATTCTTCTTATTCGTCAACAACGAATCGTAATAATTCTCGCCTTTGTTCTTCGACCATTTGTTGTCTCCTAGGAACTCCTCGAGGCTGTACGTCACACCTTTCACTTGTTCGATCTTGTCGGTGTCTGCAGGACCACAGTTCAGAACGACCCCATCGCATGGAGACACGCAAACAGCGGGAGATATGTACCGCGCACCGTCCCTGAGCGCGCGCGTAAAAAAAGCAGACAAACTTTTATAGTAACTCAAATCCGGTATTGCAGCTTCACTTAAGTTCACATTAAACATTTTCACATAAGTCCCATATATTAAACTTCGTAAGGACGTCGGGAGCTCGCAGGCCGCTAGCCGACCCCACCATCTACTCGTAATCCTGAACGGAAACATTTCGTAAAACCGTATTTCCACTTTAGAAACTTCATAATTAATACTTGCTCGAATGTAACACCAACCAATGTACATAGCACTGCCTAAAGGTACCCAACGGGTAATAATAGCCCTCAAATTCATCCATTTCGTCTTTTCAAAACTAGCGTTTCCTGTCTTTGTTTTACTATGCACTTGAATAGAAGGTGTTTTCCTGAACGGACAATGCGGACGAATCTTCAACATCGGGTTTATAACTGGAAGAGAGCTCCGTATTAGTGTCCGAGGAAACATTCCGCATTCGGTTATATATCGTTTCAGTTAAAAATAATTTGTTTATATTGGAGGTTTTTTTATAATTTAATTTAGTCACAGTGCGACGGCGGTCAACATATTATTATTAAAAGAAAACCATAAACTAAACCACAATCCAAAACCCAATATAGTATTTTTTTTTAAATAGATGTCATAACTGAAATAGATAATATGATAACTATAGGCTGTCTCCACACGTTCCGTTTACTCTGTCGGTATCGTTTATTTCAATTTTCATATTTATCAAGATTTATTTTTTAACATGTAAAAAATCCAATTAAAAAGTACTACCTTTACATGATTTATAATTAAAACTATTATTCAATTTTGTTAATATGTATCTAATACTTTTTAGTCTGTCTACTACAGTACTAAAGTGCAAGTACAGACTACAGTCTACTAAAGTGCTGAAAGGAGATGTAGAAATATGGGAAAAAAAAAAAAGTCTACTAAAGTGCTTTGTGACATATTTTTTTCTGTTTATCCTTTAAACGAAGGCCAAAGGGAACTATGGGAACTGTATGGGTATACAGCCATAAACTGTTTTGTGACAATAGGCAACTTGACTGTCATTCATCTTCAGTCTAGTGTCAAATAATTTTCTTTGGAATGCAATGGCGCCTAACCGCCTTCTTTGCTTATTGTTGATATGACATTTATGTTTGTTGACGTACTTGTTCACAAGTTTCGTTTTTTGCTTTTGTTTTATTATTATTTTCTAGCTCTAATTTCTTTATCACATGTCCAGTATTTGCAATGGAGTCAAAACCGATTTATATTCTACGTCGGACGATTCGCTGGGAAGCGTTGAGTTACGAAATAATAAAGCGTATTTTGAAGAAGAAGATATCGCGACTGAAGCATTCAAGGGTTTCGAGAAGATACCTGTGGTACTCTTACCGCGATATGATATAACTCCATATTTAGTTGAATATAATAACGTCCTGGAACAAGGCACGAAAGTTTCCCCAAAAGCAATCTCACCGCATATGGATAAACTTTTGCGCGGCTGTACTGTTAAATTAATACAAGAGGACTTGGAGAAGTTGAAACAAGTGGCCTGCCAAGGTTCTCCTAGATCTGATATTTCAATAAGTGAATTTAGTGAAACTATGGGCCATTTGAAGTGTAAAATTTGTGAAAAAGTTTATGCCAGTGAAAAAAAATTGCAGAATCATCAAGAAAACAAGCATGTGCTTGTTTACAAGCCTCAGAGTAAGCCGCAGAAGAAAGTGTCCTTTTCTGATACTGTAATTATTCATGAGGTAAAGGAGTATCATAAGTGTAGAAAGTGTTCGAGGATATTTGAAGAGTATAAATTGTTGAAGATGCACATGAAAGAGCGGCACAGAAAACGTAAATGTTACATCTGCAATTATTGTAGTAAAAGTTTCATGGATAGAATGTTTTTTAAAATTCATATTCGACTGCATTGTGATATCTGTGGCATGCTGTTCCCTAATAAAAGGAATTACGTAGAGCACAGACGATTTGTGTGTAGGGTGCTAAAAATGCATGAGTGCGGAATCTGTAAGGAGTCATATTTCAGATTTATGGACCTGAAAGACCATAGTTACCAACATTTGGGCTTGTTCTTCATATGTGATATATGTAAAGATCAATTCATAACAAAATGTGCGGTGGCACATCATATAAAATTCTTACACTCCAAGTGTCGACCTGCATCATTATATGATATGAGAATTTTGGGCACAGAGAGGTTATATCTGTGCAATTTCTGTGACGAGAGCTCCGTCGAACGTGAAGTTATTGAACAGCATGTACAGACTCTTCCGGATTTAACGAATCGAGCAATGACGGGTTACAAAGACTACTATTTCTGTGATCAGTGCTTAAAAAAATTCGACACAGAGAAGAACATGCTGCAACATAAATGGACACATTTTCTTAAAACAAGCGACAATTCCCAGTTAAGGGAAAAGGCTTTGAGTAAAGCCCCAATTAAAACTACTTATAAGATAGGGGAAGAGATTCCCGATTATATGCAGCCCAAGTTAGTGTTAGAGAAAATAAAGGTGGGAGGGAAAATATTAACTGATACTATTGATTTTATTGATGTCAACAGTTTCGACATCAACCGTGGAGAGATCAAGAAAGCCATAGTGGATCCTCGGAGAAAGAAGACTATTATATCCAGATATCAGTGCCAGGTTCGTATTCTTTCTTTTATCACTTTCGGCCATCAACCTTTGTTTATTTCAGGCAACTAGACCCATATTATGTCTAACATACATATGAATTAATATTATTAAACCAATAAACTTCCGGTTCCGGTTTTCTAACTATAAACACGTACGTCAGTGAGCTCAGTCATTAATAATAAAAATCAGTGGAAAAAACAGTCAAACTCTCATAAAACAGTGATAATCTTGCACCAAAATCAGAAAAGTTTGTGATTTATAAAAAATTACGGCGTAATAATAGTGTTATTGAGAAAAATAAGAACTACAATTGTGGTTAACATAACCTAAAAAGTGACATTTGACAGTGACACAGCACCAGAGATCATAGATTATAGAAGACTTATCAATACTACCAACATTACGGCAATAGACCGACACTCGTAGTGTTGCCAGCTTCTACCTCCGTATACGGCTAAAATAGACTAAAATTAATATGGAAAAAAGTATGGATTTACTGTTTTCAAAATTAGAGGAGAAACTTAATCTACAAGCTACAGTAATATCTACTGAGGTCACAAAAAATATAATGGAAGCCTTAGATGAGAAGATGAAATCACTTGTAACGGAAAATAACACCCTAAAATCAAGAATTACAAAGTTAGAAGAAAAAATCAACTTTATGGAAAGGGATAAAAGAAAAAATAATTTAGTATTTTTTGGTATAAAAGAGGAAGGACAAAGTGAAACTGAATTAGTGGATCAATTAAAAGAAACAGTAGTAGATATGGGGATACATATGGAAAGCCAAGAGATAGCAAATATATATAGAATTGGTCGCCCTTCAAACAAAAATCGACCAGTAGTGGTGTCCTTTACAACAAAATGGAAAAAACACCTTGTGCAACAAAACAAGACTAACCTTCCGCAAGGCATCTATCTTAAAGAAGACTATTCTAGAGAGGTACTCGTGACCAGAAAGGAACTTCAACCGAAACTGGAGGAGGAAAGAAAGAAGGAAACATAGCTTACTTAAAGTACGACAAGCTGATAGTAAAGAAAGCAAATGAAAATAATCGTGAGAAGAGGAAAAGAGATAAATCAGAATCACCAGTTACAAAAAATTACACCAAGAAGCAGCTGACTAACAGCAGTCCAAACTCAACCATCATGTCATCGGTAAATTCTGCAAAAGAAATACTAAAACCAAATATACTAAATTATATGGCACGTGGAAGATCTTATTCCTTATCAGAATCATCAAAAAACTAACAAGTAATGCCGGCAACTGGAACCCAAACAATAAAGAATTACTAACACCAAATAAAACAACATTAACTTGCACCCCAAGCCGGCTGGTCACCGTGGGGGAAGAAGACTATCACCCTCCAACAAATGCTAAGAAACAAAACATAAATATATTAAACAGGATAAAAAGAGAACAAACCCTAAAAATATGCACATACAATGTAAGATCACTTGCTACAACATCGAGATTTTTGGAACTCAACAATGCGATTAAACATATAAATTGGGACATTATAGGCCTCGCAGAAGTGAAAAAAATTGGTTGTCGTATAGAGGAACACAAAGACTATATCTTCTGCTATATAGGCGAAACAATTGGATTACATGGCGTGGGCTTTCTAATAAAGAAATCGTTTAAGTCGGACATCGTGAATTTTTTGGGTATCTCCGAGAGAGTAGCATTACTTAAACTACAATTGAACAACATACCACTATCTCTAATTCAAGTATATTCTCCTACCGAGAGCTCCAGCGAAGAAGAAATGGACAAATTTTACAATGACTTAAAGACAGCACAAGAATTAGCTGATAAAACCTTAATAATTATGGGAGACTTCAACGCAAAAATAGGACATCCACAGCCGCACGAAAATATAATAATGGGAAAATATGGATACGGAAAACGTAATAAGAGGGGAGAACGTTTAATACAGTTTGCATATGAAAACAAATTATCAATAATGAACACTTATTTTATCAAGAAAAAATCAAGGAAGTGGACGTGGTTATCTCCAGATCAAAAAACAAAAAATGAAATAGACTCTATACTAAGTCACAACCCAAAATCAGTAGCGAACATAGAGATACTCAACAATCTTAACTTCCCATCTGACCACAGAATTGTAAGATGTTCTCTAAAAATACAGACATGCAAAGCTAGTCGCAGGACATTCAAGTCCATACCCAACATGCTAAAGTACACTTGTGAAAAAAATAGCTACATACAAAACCTAAAACAGAACTCAACAAATTTATACAAATCTATGGAGAACTCGGACAATATACTAATACTAAGTAACGAATTAGAAAAAACAATCTCAAGAAGCCTTATACTCAGTGAAAATAAAAGATGCGATGGTAAAAAGGACAAAATTATTAGTGAAGAAACATTTAATCTCATTTCCGAAAGAACAAAATTACTGAAAAGTAAATTAAAATCTAAAGAAAGGAAAGAAAAATTAAAGCAGCTGTTTAAAAATTGCAACAGAGCAATTAGAAAAGACTATGAATCATACAGGAAATCAGTTATAGAAAGAAAGATGACAACTTACCGCAGCTCAAAAAGAGCTTTTAAAGAATTGACAACTCATAAAACCTGGATTGAATGTCTAAAAGATGGCAATAAAGAAGTTAGAGACAGGTCAGATATAATGAAAAGGGCAACGGAATTCTATACCAACCTATACAAAGAACCTCCACAAGCAAAACCCATAGCGAGCAAAAGTAATTTTGGGTCCAATGATGACCAAACTACAATAACATGGGATCCAATAACAGAAAGTGAACTATTGAGTCACATTAAGAAACTAAAACCTGAAAAAAGTCCAGGTCCAGATGGAATCTCCAATGAAGCTTTAAAAATCGGAGCAGAATGGCTAGTACAATTTATTCTCAATCTGTTTAACCTAATCTTAAAACAGGAACAAGTACCCACACAGTGGTGCAAATCCACAATAATACTACTCTACAAAAAAGGGAACCCACTCGACATTGGTAATTACAGGCCCATTAGTTTATTAACAACAACTTACAAACTCTTCTCGTCAATTATTCTTAGCAGAATAGCACCAGAAATTAATAAAAATCAATCCATAGAACAAGCAGGATTTCGGCCAAATTACTCGACAATTGATCATATACATACTATGGAACAAATAATCGAAAAATACAAGGAATTTAACAAACCAATATACATAGCATTTGTGGATTATACCAAAGCATTTGATAGCTTAATACATTCATCTATATGGGAAGCATTAAGAAGTAATAACATAAGCGAAAAATACATAAACATTATAAAGAACATTTACTCCAAAAGTACAAGTAGAGTCAAATTAGAAAAATTGGGTAAAGAATTCCCAATTGAAAAAGGTGTGAAACAAGGAGATCCTCTCTCTCCTAAACTGTTCATAGCTGTACTGGAGCAAATTTTTACAAATATTAATTGGGGAAACAAAGGAATACCAATAATGAACAAAAAGCTTACCCATTTAAGGTTCGCAGACGATATAGCTATTTTTAGTGAAACGGTCACAGACTTAAACAAAATGCTGAATATTTTAGATGCAGAGAGTAGAAGGATAGGTCTTCATATGAATTCTTCAATAACAAAAATTATGACTAACAGCTACAAACAAACAATCAAAATAGATGGAATAGAAATAGAATATGTGGATGACTATGTGTATTTGGGTAAAATGGTTTCGTTTGACCCCAATAGTAACGAAAATGAAATTGACAGAAGGATAAATGTAACATGGAAGAAATACTGGGCACAGAAAGAAATTCTAAAAGGGAACTACAACTTGAAAATGAAAAAGATAATAATGGATACCTGCATCCTGCCAAGCTTAACTTATGCAAGCCAAACATGGGTATATACGGAAAAATTAAAAAACAAAGTCCTGTCCTGTCAGCACGCAATGGAGAGAAGTGTACTAAAGCTACGCAGAATACATAAAATAAGGAACACAGTCATTCGCGAGAAGACAAAAATAAAAGATGCACTTCAACATGGCCTAAGACAGAAATGGAAATGGGCAGGTCACGTAGCTAGGTACAAAGACAAAAGGTGGACTTACCAACTAACAAAGTGGCGGGGACCGACAGGAAAAAGACGAGTAGGTCGACAGAGAAAGAGATGGTCTGATGACATTAAAGAAGTGGCCGGGGAACACTGGATGAGCGTGGCTGCGAATAGAGGGAAATGGAACAAGTTGGAGGAGGCTTTTACCCACATGGGACCATATATATAAAGAAGAAAATAAATTAAATTAATCCTAACTTAAAATATTAGTTATAATTTGTAATATATGGACAATAAAGCTTTAATAATAATAAAAAAACCAATAAACTGATATATGAAATTGTCTGTGTACTGATGGCACTGACGACGGCAATCTGCCACGATAGTACGGATACACCACACTCTTCGGCCAGTAGCCCTTATGGCTATAATAAGATTTATTGATATTCAAATTCAAAAATAACTTATTAATGTAGGAAATTTTAGCTGCTTATTAACATCACGTGAATTTATTTTTATGGCAATCAGAAACAACCTCCAACTTAGTCTACATATTTTTTCATAGTCCTTAATTTCGAAATAAAACAACATTATAGTTTATGCCTGTATTTAAAGTTGATGTTCTAAAAAATTTAATATCCTTTGTAGGCACTAAAAATACACGTGATGTTGGGGGGAGGGGGGAGGGTTTGTCCAAACCTCACTACGTCTCACCAAGATTTTTGAAATGCTAAAAAAAGATCACGTGATTAATGATCGGCCTCTTAACATTCTACTTCATCTTCGGCAGCGATGATGGTAATACATTCCGATAAGAATCAGATAAGCTGTTATGACGAAGCCGCTCGATTGGCGTATTCTTGGCCACGCCTTCTTTGAAAATAAGCCAATCAGACGGCGTTGTAGGCTTGGGCCATCCAGACTAATAAAATGAGGCTAGTCTAAATACCAATGGTACTCCTCAAACCTTTTATTTTAATGGATGATAATACAATACTCATGAGCGGTACCAGTGGAGGATGATAATGAGCATGAGGTCAGGTCAGTTAGACCATCGTGACAAATTCACCAAGAATTTTTACGATGGTTTCCAGGGTAATCGCTTTGAGATCAACCTGACATGGTACATTGTTAGCAACGCTTCCATTAGTCATTTACGCTGGAGCACTGGGCTGGGCACCAGTGGATGATGATAAGATGAACATGAGGTCAGGTCAGTTAGCCCATCGTGACAAATTCATCAGGAATTTACGATGATTTTCAGGGTATTCGCATTGAGATCAATCTGCTAGCAAAGGTACTATTAGTCACAGTACTAACAATCCCCTCATCCTAACTAAGTATTAAACAGCACCGAATTTCTGTTTCAGATCTGCACAAAATATTATTCGTCGCGATACTGCCTCAACCGCCACTTGCTGACTCAGCACAATGAATACGAGCAGCTAAGATGCGACACTTGCGAAGAAACGTTCGTCTGGCCGTCCCTCCTGAGGTCGCACAACTGCATTCGTCTAAACCTTCCCGAAATGCCTTTCGACGACGCCAGACCTGAAATACACTTTGATAACCTGAACGAGATCACTCAGAATGGATTTGATGACTTTAACATCACGGATAATGATGATTATATGAACGCCATAGACTTTGAAATACCTGAACCTATTGTTACATTGAGTGAATGTAACACACCGTATATTCCTAGTGATGATATGTCGCATTTGCAGAGTTTTGGTTACAAAGTGGTCGTACAAGAAGTGCCTATTGAATTTTAACCTATTTTAAAGTTATATTTCTGAATCCAATTTTAGCTTTAAACTAATCAAATTATATACATTACGGTCCAAATCCGAAAGGTTATGAGGCCGGTTCAAAATCGAAAACACGATGACCAAGACGATTCAAGAAATGGTTATACGAAGCTTGGCTAAAATCGATTAAATCAAAGACCAATTCCAATTTGAATATAGATTGAGCTTGAAAAATAATGTACGAATTAAAAACTTTATTTATGACAGAAAAATTATTGTGTGTAACTACAGGTTATAAGAAATTAAAAAAAGGATATCCTGCAGGACAGGTTACCAATACAAGATGGAGTGGATAATGAAATGGTGAGCTTGAAAGTAGTAATAGAAACCAGAAACAAAATAAACAAAGAAAACTTTATAAGAAACATAATACAATGATAAACAAATCAATAAGAGCACTCACCCACAGTCTGTGAGAAAAAATCCTTTTGGCAAATGATAACATCATAGTATAAAACAAAGTCGCTGTCACTGTCTGTCCCTATATATACTTAAATCTATAAAACTACGCAACGGATTTTAAAGCGGTTTTTTTTACTAGATAGAGTGATTTAAGAGGAAGGTTTATATATAATACATAATACACCCGAGCTAAGCCGGGGCGAGTAGCTAGTAGCTAATATAGATCATGTTGACAACTTAATATTCGAGTCATATATAGGTGATGTTAATACAATGTTAACATATAACTAAATATAGATAATAATCCTAATACTGACGGCAATTTTTTATGTCTTTATTCGAAAACGAATAGAATTAAATAAAACTTTATTGCTAGTTGTGTGGGTAGATTAATTTGTAAGTGGTATGACAATATACATTGTTAGTCGGAAAGGGTTATCATCTGCTTCTTCCTTATCCCATTTATTTGTGGTCGGCGTAATATGTTTTGTTTTTCACTTCCATTCGTCTCTGTTCGCAGTCATCTCGTTATTTACTCCCTTTCTCACCATATCATCTTCCATATTTTAATCATGCAATAAGATTCTTATTAGACTATTACTTAAAAATTTAATTGCATTGATACTATATTTAAAAAAGCAAACACTGTAGGTATTAAATTTAATATTATTCATTTTTCATTAACGTTCCCGGCTTCGCACGGGAGTACATGTATTATACATATAAACCTATTGAATCACTAATAGATAGTGATTAAACTACACAATAGATTTTATTGCAGCTAAAAACTGCAATAAAATCTATTGTGTAGTTTAAAAGTTAAAAAAAATGGAAGTCGTGTAGTATCATTAAAGAGCACGCTGGATGGTCTTAAATTATGAATAAATAAAGTTTAAAAGATCAAAGCGAAGAGACAGCGGAAGCTACTTCATTTTATAGTATGTGAACATAATATAATTTGTTTTTGAAAATTGGCAGATCTGTGTCAGACTCTGCAACACTAAAAAGTCATATATAAATTTATTTAATTCACACACATGTGTTATTTAATTTATATACTTTTATACAAATACAAATAATGTCTATATAAAGTTATATAATTATATATATATGTAACAAATTAATAAGTACAATGAATCTTCAAGCAAGGAAAAAACAATTATGGTTGTAAAGTGTAAAGTGAATACATCAACGCATCGGTTGACTGGTAGAGAATACCATCAGACATTAAGTCTGCCAGTATACAATGTTTGGTGCAAAAGAAAAAGTAAATAAATCGATAATAAAGTGACAATTTATAAAGTTTCCAAGTAAAAAGAGTTGGAAAGTTGAAGAGACTCAAAATATTGAAATCTCATGTATGTTACTGGTAGAGAATGCCATCAGGCATTAAGTCCGCTCGTATACAATTTTGTTTGCAAAAGAATAAATAAATAAATCAACAATAAAGTGACAATTTATGAAGTTCCCAAGTTAAAAGAGTTCGAAAGTTGAAGAGACTCAAAATATTGAAATTCATGTATGTTACTGGTAGAGAATACCATCAGGCATTAAGTCTGCCAGTATACAATTTTGTTTGCAAAAGAATAAATAAATAAATCAACAATAAAGTGACAATTTATAAAGTTTCCAAGTAAAAAGAGTTCGAAAGTTGAAGAAGAGACTCAAAATATTGAAATCTCATGTATGTCACTGGTAGAGAATGCCATCAGGCATTAAGTCTACCAGTATACAATTTTGTGTGCAAAAGAAGAAACAAATCAACAAAGTGACAATTTATGAAGTTTCCAAGTAAAAAGAGTTCGAAAGTTGAAGAAGAGACTCAAAATATTGAAATTCATGTATGTTACTGGTAGAGAATACCATCAGGCATTAAGTCTGCCAGTATACAATTTTGTTTGCAAAAGAATAAATAAATAAATCAACAATAAAGTGACAATTTATAAAGTTTCCAAGTAAAAAGAGTTCGAAAGTTGAAGAAGAGACTCAAAATATTGAAATCTCATGTATGTTACTGGTAGAGAATGCCATCAGGGATTAAATCCGCCAGTAAACAATATTGTGTACCTGTGTGCAAAAGAATAAATAAATAAACAGTAAAGTGGTGACAATTTATGAAGTTTCCAAGTAAACAGAAGAAATGGAGTTCGAAAGTTGAAAAAGATGCTCAAAATAGTGAAATATCATGTATGTGACTTAACTCTGTTATTGTAAAGTGTAAAATTAAATTAAAATATAATACTATATGCAGGCAATAGTGATATATAGTTATTTAATAATAAGGCGAAAGTTACATTATAGTCCCCGAGCCAGATGTTAATGTCGTCAATGATTTCTTCTCGGCTTCTTTAATGTAAAATAAACATCGAATTATTGACTGGTCATCCGCACCTGTTGGGGCCTTGGGGTCCCGGCATCAACTTCGGGGGGCAACAACCCCAGGTGGCTGGATTTAAGCCTCTTAGGGCGAAATATAAAATAAGAAACAAGTTAACCAAACTTAAAACGTAGTGCCATACTTGGGGACAAATTTTTTTTAACACGTTAAACACTGCATGCTCATTGGTGGGTCACTCCGCAAGGAAAGTGAATTTACACGTTGGTACTGAGTGATCACCCGTGGGCAGTTCAATTGAAATAAATCTAGGGGTTAAATAATGTCTACCTCAAATTATTGTACACTAAAAGAATATTTAAAAAATAATATATGTAATTAACAATAAATAAAATACCGGACCCTATGTTAGAAATAAGATTATTCAATGCGGTCTTCAACGTGTTAAATAAATACAAAAAAAGTCTAAATTTATTATGATAATTGTATTAAAGCGTAGTAAAAGTTAGATATGGTTTCGAGGGTGATTTGATAAAATAGACCATAAGGCCTTATATCTTAATAATATTATAAACGCGAAAGTTTGTAAGTATGGATAGATGTTTGTTACCCTTTCACGCAAAAACTACTGAACGGATTTTGATGAAACTTTACAGTAATATAGCTTATGCATCAGAATAACATATAGGCTATATTTTTATTGAAATTTAACGCAGGTGAAACCGTGGGTACAGCTAGTATAATAATTTTTAATGTAGTCATTAAGAGAATGCAAGAATAACTTATCGTTGATCTAGCGGTTTAAGACATCGCTTTACGGTCGCGGGTTCGAGTCCTCGCACGGCACAAATGAAATTTATTGTATTTACGAGTATGATTGTTTTTGTTGGTCTGGGTGTTTTCTATGTATAATATATGTGTATTTACGAATAAAAAATATCTATGTATTTGTATCAGTTATCTAGTACCCATAAAACAAGCTTTAGCTGGGTTAACTTGGGTGTAGATGGCGCTGTGTGAATTGTCTTGAGCTTATTATATTATTATTAACACTATAAAAATTTTGTACAACGCCATCTAGTGAGAACTGGAGAAACTAATTTACCAGTTTATATAAATTTTCTATGTCAGCAGCAGTGGGCTGAAATGGACTTTAAAGTTATAGTACACAATGTTTATTTTTATCAAAAACCAATAGCTTGCTGATTCCTCGATTTTAGAAGATTCAGCCGAGAGGAAATTTCGTTATCGGAATCTGTTGCTGGCTCGCGGACTATTGACTGTTATTTATTAAAATTTACTCGTGCATGTGATTTGTATGTACAGCTGATACATATGTGTTTAATGATAACCCCGCATGTCAAGTTAATTTTTTACAAGAAAACTGTTAATTTTTATTTAATATATACATTTAAGTTTATAGTTTGTCGATAGGTAATCGTGCAACGATTTAGATCAGGGGTGACCAACTTTTTTCATCAGCGGGCAAAATTCAATTTTTAATTTTACGATTCAGATCGGGGAGTCTAAGATTCTCTTGACTTTAAAGACGACAAATAATTTAAGATAAAGAACTATCACTTGGACTATTGTATAAAAACAAATTGCCAATTAGTATTAAAAAAAAAAGATCATGGCGAGCCGCACATTAAGTAACATTTATTAATAATTTATAAATCTTTATTTATAATAAACATTAGAATAAAAAAAAAACATATTTTGAAGCATAATAAAAACTGGTATTGCATGTGTGAGCAAGTCACCGACAAGTGAGTAACTCGTCGAAAAACCAAACGGGGATCGAAATTACGACGGCCTGAGCCGTGGTTCAAACTGCTTGTGGTGCCCTCAGATTAAAGTCGTATCTGTCAAGCGAGAGTTGGCCTTCAGCCGCTCCATAAGTCCTTCCTTTAATTTGAGTGCCATCTGCACTCGGCACCCATCGTCCGGTGAAGCTGTAAAGGCCAACTGAGTTGTTTAGTATGTACTACCGTTTTGTTATAATTAATTCTATAACAATATATTAATGGGAGAAAATTTGTAAATTCTATTTTAGAAATGGTTGACGGGCCGCATAAACATGTTTAACGGGTCGCAAGCGGCCCGCGGGCCGCGTGTTGTTCATCCCTGGTTTAAACAAATTATCAAATCATTATAGTATGTTCAATAATTGTATTTATTGTTGTAGTTGAACACTGTTGTAATTTTTTTTAGTTTTATTTCAAACAAATTGTAATATAATAATAGGTGGGTATTTTTTGACAATTTTATTTACACTCACCGAGCTCTCCTCTGATAGATCCCCTTTCCCATTACAATGAGAATCGAAGTTACGACGGCCTGAGCTGAGGTTCGGACCCTTAGCGGTGCCCTCAGACTAAAGTTGTATCCGTCAGGCGGCAGTTGTATCCGTTGGCCTTTACCCGCTCTGCTCTATAAGTTCTTACATGGGTTCTTTTTTATGGATG